ATATGCAGGAAGTGCAGCGGGCGCTCTTCATTCGCGAGCGCCGATGACCGATGATACTAGCAACCCTCCCACGCCCTTGCTGGCTTGGCAATAGGCCCAGACAAGCACAGCCACGTGACCCGGCGGAAGAAAAATGCTCGGAACGAGCGCTTCCAGCCCAAAAAACGCGGAAGGATTCGCACATGTGCAGGAAGTGCAGCGGGCACTCTTCATTCGCGAGCACCGATGACCGATGATGCTCGCAACCCTCCCATGCCCTTGCTGGCATGGGAATAGGCCCAGACAAGTGCAGCCATGTGACCCGGCATTAGAAAAATGCTCGGAACGAGCGCTTCCAGCCCCAAAACGCGGAAGGATCTGCACATGTGCAGGAAGTGCAGCAGGCGCTCTTCATTCGCGAGCGCCGATGACCGATGATGCTTGCAACCCTCCCACTCCCTTGCTGTCTTGGCAATAGGCCTAGGTAAGCGCAGCCATGTGACATGGCAAAAGAAAAAACGCTGGGAACGAGCGCTTTGAGCCCCAAAATGCGGAAGGATCTGCACATGTGCAGGAAGTGCAGCGGGCGCTCTTCATTCGCAAGCGCGGATGGCCGATGATACTAGCAACCCTCTCACGCTCTTGCTAGCTTGGTAATAGGACCAGAAAAGCGCAGCCACGTGACCCGGCGGAAGAAAAACACTCGGAACGAGTGCGTCCAGCCCCAAAATGCGAAAGTATCTGCACACACATGTGCAGGAAGTGCAGTGGGCGCTCTTCATTCGCGTGCGTCGATGATCGATGATGCTCGCAACCCTCCCACGCCCTTGCTGGGTTGGCAATAGGCCCAGACAAGCGCAGCCACGTGACCCGGCAGAAGAAAAACGCTCGGAACGAGCGCTTCCAGCCTCAAAACGCGAAAGGATCCGCAGATGTGCAGGAAGTGCAGCGGGCGCTTTTCATTCGCGAGCGCCGATGACCGATGATGCTCGAAACCCTCCCACGCCCTTGCTGGCTTGGCAACAGGCCCAGACAAGTGCAACCAAGTTGCCCCTGCAAAAGAAAATCGCTCGGAACGAGCGCTTTGAGCCCAAAAACGCGGAAGGATCCGCACATGTGCAGGAAGTGCAGTGGGCGCTCTTCATTCGCGAACGCCGATGACCGATGATGCTCGCAACCCTCCCACGCCCTTGCTGGCTTGCCAATAGGCCCAGAACGACAAGTGCAGCCACGTGACCCGGCGGAAGAAAAAAGCTTGAAACGAGCGCTTCCAGCCCCAAAACGCGGAAGGATCCGCACATGTGTAGGAAGTGCAGCGGGCGCTCTTCATTTGCGAGCGCCAATAACCGATAATGTTTGCAACCCTCCCACGCCCTTGCTGGCTTGGCAAGAGGCCCAGACAAGCGCAACCACGTAACCCGGCGGAAGAAAAACGGTCGGAACGAGCGCTTCTAGCACAAAAACGCGGAAGGATCCGCGCATGTGCAGGAAGTGCAGCGGCCGCTCTTCATTCGCGAGCGCCAATGACCGATGATGCTCGCAAACCTCCCACGCCCTTGCTAGCTTAACAATATGCCCAGACAAGCGTAACCAAGTGACCCGGCGGAAGAAAAATGCTCGGAACGAGCGCTTCCAGCCCCAAAACGCGGAAGGATCCGCACATGTGCAGGAAGTGCAGGGGGCGCTCTTCATTCGCGAGCGCCGATGACTGATGATGCTTGCAACCCTCCCATGCCCTTGCTGGCTTGGCAATAGGCCCAGACAAGCGCAGCCACGTGACCCGGTGGAAGAAAAACGCTCGGAACGAGCGCTTCCAGCCCCAAAACATGGTAGCATCCGAACATGTGCAGGAAGTGCAGGGGGCACTCTTCATTCGCAAGCGCCGCCCAATCAAGCGCAGCCACATGACCTGACAGAAGAAAAACGCTCGAAACGAGCGCTTCCAGCCCCAAAACGTGGAAGGATCCGCACATGTGCAGGAAGTGCAGTGGGCGCTCTTCATTCGCGAGCGCCGGTGACCGATGATGCTCGCAACCCTACCACGCCCTTGCTGGCTTGGCAATAGGCCCAGACAAGCGCAGCCACGTGACCCGGCAGAAGAAAAACGCTCGGAACGAGCGCTTCCATCTTAAAAACGTTGAAGGATCCGTACATGTGCAGGAAGTGCAGCGGGCACTCTTCATTCACGAGCGACGATGAGCGATGATGCTTGCAACCCTCCCACGCCCTTGCTGGCTTGGCAATAGGCCCATACAAGAGCAGCAATGTGACCCGGCGGAAGAAAAACGCTCGGAACGAGCACTTCCAGCCCCAAAACGCGGAAGCGTCCGCACATGTGCACGAAGTGCAGCGGGCGCTCTTTATTCGCGAGCGCCGATGACCGATGATGCTCGCAACCCTCCCACGCCCTTGCTGGCTTGGCAATAGGCCCACACAAGCATAGCCACGTGATCTGGCGGAAGAAAAACGCTCGGAGGAGCGCTTCCAGCCCCAAAACGCGGAAGGATCCGCACATGTGCAAGAAGTGCAGAGGGCGCTCAAAATTCGTAAGCGCCGCCCAGACAAGCGCAGTTAGATGACCCGGCAGAAGAAAAACGCTCGAAACGAGCGCTTCCAGCCCCAAAACGCGAAAGGATCCGCACATATGCAGGAAGTGCAGCGGGCGCTCTTCATTCGCGAGCGCCAATGACCGATGATGCTCGAAACCCTCCCACGCCCTTGCTGGCTTGGCAATGGGCCCAGGAAAGCGCAACCAAGTGGCCCCTACAAAAGAAAAACGCTCGGAACGAGCGCTTCCAGCCCCAAAACGCGAAAGGATCCGCACATGTGCAGGAGGTGCAGCGGGCGCTCTTCATTCGCGAGCGCCGATGATCGATGATGCTCGCAACCCTCCCACGCCCATGCTGGCTTGGCAAGAGGCCCAGACAAGCGCAGCCACATGACCCGACATAAGAAAAACGCTCGAAACGAGCGCTTCCAGCCCCAAAACGCGGAAGGATCTGCACATGTGCAGGAAGTGCAGTGGGCGCTCTTCATTCGCGAGCGCCAATGACCGATGATACTAGCAACCCTCCCACGCCCTTGCTGGCTTGGCAATAGGCCCAGACAAGCGCAGCCACGTGACCCGGCGGAAGAAAAACGCTCGGAACGAGTGCTTCCAGCCCAAAAAACGCGGAAGGATCCGCACATGTGGAGGAAGTGCAGCGGGTGCTCTTCATTCGCGAGCGCCGATGACCGATGATGCTCGCAACCATCCCACGCCCTTGCTGGCTTGGCAAAAGGCCCAGACATGCGTATCCACGTGGCCCCGGCAGAAGAAAAACGCTCGGAACGAGTGCTTCCATCCTAAAACGCAGAAGGATCCGCACATGTGCTGGAAGTGCAGCGGGCGCTCTTCATTCGCGAGCGCCGATGACCGATGATGCTCGTAACCCTCCCACGCCCTTGCTGGCTTGGCAATAGGCCCAAACAAGCGCAGCCACGTGACCCGGCGGAAGAAAAATGCTCGGAACGAGCGCTTCCAGCCCAAAAACGCAGAAGGATCCGTACATGTGCAGGAAGTGCAGCGGGCGCTCTTCATTCGCGAGTGCCGATGACCGATGATGCTCGCAACCCTCCCACGCCCTTGCTGGCTTGGCAATAGGCCCAAACAAGCGCAGCCACGTGACCCGGCGGAAGAAAAACGCTCGGAACGAGCGCTTCCAGCTCCAAAACGCGGAAGCATCCGCACATGTACAAAAAGTACAGGGGGCGCTCTTTATTCACGAGCGCCGCCCAGACAATTGCAGCCACATGACCCGGCAGAAGAAAAACACTCGAAACGAGTACTTCCAGCCCCAAAACGCGGAAAGATCCGCACATGTGCAGGAAGTGCAGCGAGCGCTCTTCATTCGCGAGCGCCGATGACCGATGATGCTCGAAACCCTCCCACGCCCTTGCTGGCTTGGCAATAGGCCCAGACAAGCGCAACCAAGTTGCCCCTGCAAAAGAAAAACGCTTAAAACGAGCGCTTCGAGCCCAAAAACGCGGAAGGATCCGCACATGTGCAGGAAGTGCAGGGGGGGGCTCTTCATTTGCGAGTGCCGATGACCGATGATGCTCGAAACCCTCCCACGCCCTTGCTGGCTTGGCAATATGCCCAGACAAGCGCAGCCACGTGACCCGGCGGAAGAAAAACGCTTGGAACGAGCGCTTCCAGCCCCAAAACGCGGAAGGATCCGCACATGTGTAGGAAGTGCAGCGGGCGCTCTTCATTCGCGAGCGTCGATGACCGATGATGCTCGCAACTCTCCCACGCCCTTGCTGGCTTGGCAATAGGCCCAGACAAGCGCAGCCACTTGACCCGGTAACGCTCGGAACGAGCGCTTCTAGCCCAAACACGTGGAAGGATCCGCACATGTGCAGAAAGTGCAGCGGGCGCTCTTCATTTGCGAGCGCCAATGACCGATGATGCTCGCAACCCTCCCACGCCTTTGCTGGCTTGGCAATAGGCCCAGACAAGCGCAGCCATGTGACCCGGCGGAAGAAAAACGCTCGGAACGAGCGCTTCCAGCCCCAAAACGCGGAAGGATCTGCAGGAAGTGCAGCGGGCGCTCTTCATTTGCGAGCGCCGCCCAGACAAGCGCAGCCACATGACCCGGCAGAAGAAAAAGGCTCGAAAATTTTGCACATACTAGGCACTTTTTCTTTCATTCTGCACAATTCCACACAATAGATACTTGTTCTAGCAATTTTGCACACACTAGGCAGTTCTTCTTGAAATTTTGCATACACTAGACACTTTTCCTTGCAATTTTGCACACACTAGGCCCTTGTTCTTGCAATTTTGCACACACTAGTCACTTATTCTTGCAATTTTGCACACACAAGGCACTTGTTCTTGAAATTTTGCACACATTAGGCACTTGTTCTTGGAATTTTGCACACACAAGACACTTGTTCTTGCACTTTTGCACACACTATGCACTTGTTCTTGCAATTTTGCACCTAGATAGGCCCTTGTTCTTGCAATTTTGCACACACTAGGCACTTGTTCCTGCCGTTGGAGAAGGGTGATGAGAGTAGGTATAACGACGATGAGAGTAGGGAGAAGGGTGATGAAAGTAGGGAGAAGGGTGATGAGAGTAGGGAGAAGGGTGATGAGAGTAGGGAGTAGGGAGAAGGGTGATGAGAGTACGGAGAAGGGTTATGAAAGTAGGGAGAAGGGTGATGAGAGTAGGGAGAAGGGAAAAGGGTGATGAGAGTAGGGAGAAGGGAAAAGGGTGATGAGAGTAGGGAGAAGGGTGATGAGAGTAGGGAGAAGGGTGATGAGAATAGGGAGAAGGGTGATGAGAGTAGGGAGAAGGGTGATGAGAGTAAGCAGAAGGGTGATGAGAGTAGGGAGAAGGGTGATGAGAGTAGGGAGAAGGGGTGTGCAACGAGCTCCTGTCAAGCGCGCTGGGGTTGCAACAACCTCCCGGCGAGCACGCGGGGGTGGAATGACCTCCCGGCGAGTGCGCGGGGGGTGGAACAAGCCCCTGGCGAGCGCGTGGGGGGTTCAACGATCTCCTATCGAGCGCCCGGGCGGTGCAACGACCTCCCGGCAAGCGCGCGGGGGTGCAACGAGCTCCCGGCCAGCGCACGGGGGGTGCAACGAGCTCACGGCGAGTGCTCGGGGGGTGCAACGAGCTCCCGGCGAGCGCGCAGGGGGTGCAATGAGCTCCCGGCGAGCGAGCGGGGGGTGCGACAACCTCCCGACGAGCGCGCGGGGGGTGCAACGACCTCCCGTCGAGCACGTTGGGGGTGCAATGAGCTCTCGGCGAGCGCGCGGGGGGGTGCAACAAACTCCCGGTGAGCGCGCGGGGGATGCAACGACCTCCCGGCGTGCGCGAGGGGGGTGCAACGACCTCCCGGCGAGCTTGTGGGGGGTGCAACCACCTCCCGTCGAGCACGCGGGGGGTGCAACGACCTCGCGGCGAGCGCACGGGGGGTGCAAAGACCTCCCGACGAGTGCGCGGGGGTGCAACGAGCTCCCGGCGAGAAGGGAGAAGGGTGATGAGAGGAGGGAGAAGGGTGATGAGAGTAGGGAGAAGGGTGATGAGAGTAGGGAGAAGGGTGATGAGAGTAGGGAGAAGGGTGATGAGAGTAGGGAGAAGGGTGATGAGAGTAGGGAGAAGGGTGATGAGAGTAGGGAGAAGGTTGATGAGAGTAGGGAGAAGGGTGATGAGAGTAGGGAGAAGGGTGAGGAGAGTAGGGAGAAGGGTGATGATAGTACGGAGAAGGGTATGAAAGTAGGGAGAAGGGTGATGAGAGTAGGGAGAAGGAAGAAGGGTGATGAGAGTAGTGAGAACGGTGATGAGAGTAGGGAGAATGGTGATGAGAGTAGGGAGAAGGGTGATGAGAGTAGGGAGAAGGGTGATGAGAGTAGGGAGAAGGGTGATGAGAGTAGGGAGAAGGGTGATGAGAGTAGGGAGAAGGGTGATGCGAGTAGGGAGAAGGGTGATGAGAGTAGGGAGAAGGGTGATGAGACTAGGGAGTAGGGAGAAGGGTGATGAGAGTACGGAGAAGGGTTATGAAAGTAGGGAGAAGGGTGATGAGAGTAGGGAGAAGGGAGAAGGGTGATGAGAGTATGGAGAAGAATGATGAGAGAAAGGAGAAGGGTGATGAGAGTAGGGAGAAGGGAGATGAGAGTAAGGAGAAGGGTGATTAGAGTAGGGAGAAGGGTGATGAGAGTAGGGAGAAGAGGGGTGCAAGGAGCTCCCATCGAGCGCGCGGGGGTTGCAACAACCTCCCGGCGAGTTCGCGGGGGTTGCAACGACCTCCCGGTGAGTGCGCGAGGGGTGGAACGAGCTCCCGGCGAGCACGTGGGGGGTGTAACGATCTCCCATCGGGCGCCCGGGAGGTGCAATGACCTCCCGACGAGCGCGCGGGGGGGTGACCTCTCAGCGAGCGCGCAGGGGGTTCAATGACCTTCCGGCGAGCGCGCGGGGGGTGCAACGACCTCCCGTCGAGCGCGCAGATGGTGCAACGAGCTCCCGGTGAGCGCGCGGGGGGTTCAATGACCTCCTCACGAGCGAGCAAGGGGTGCAACGACCTCCCAGCGAGCGCGCGGGGGGTGCAACGACCTCCCAGCGAGCACGCGGGGGGTGCAACGACCTCCCAGCGAGCGCGCGAGGGGTGCAACGAGCTCTCGCGGAGTGCGCGGGGGGGTGCAACGACCTCCCGGCGAGCGCGTGAGGGGTGCAACGACCTCCCGGCGAGCGCACGGGGGTGCAACGAACTCCCGGCGAACGCGCGGGGGGTGCAACGACCTCCTAGCGAATGCGCGGGGGGTGCAACGACCTCCCAGCGAGTGCGCGGGGGGTGCGACGAGCTCCCGGCGAGCAAGGGGGGGGGGGAAAACGAGCCCCCGGCGAGAAGGGAGAAGGGTGATGAGAGTAGGGAGAAGGGTGATGGGGACGAAGGGGGTGCAACGACGTCCCGACGAGCGCGCGGGGGGTGCAACGACCTCCCGGCAAGCGCGTCGGGGGTGCAACGACCTCCCGGCGAGCGCGTGAGGGGTGCAACGATCTCCCGGGGAGCGCTCGGGGGGTGCTACGAACTCCCGGCAAGCTCGCGGAGGATGCAACGACATCCTGGCGAGCGCGAGGGGGGTGCAAGGACGTCCTGGCGAGCGCGCGGGGGCTGCAACGACCTCCCGACGAGCGCGCGGAGGATGCAACAAACTCTGGGCGAGAGCGCAGGGGGTGCAACAACCTCCCGGCGAGCGCGCGGGGGATGCAACGACCTCCCGGCGAGCACGAGGGGGGTGCAACGTCCTCCCGGGGAGCGCGCGGGGGGTGCAATGACCACCCGGCGAGCGCGCGGGGGGTGCAACGACGTCCTGGCGAGCGCGCCGGGGGTGCAACGACCTCCCGGCGAGCACACATGGGGTGCAACGAACTCCTGGCGAGCTCGCGGGGGGTGCAACGACCTCCTGGTGAGCGCGAAGGGGGTGCAACGACGTCCCGGCAAGCACGCCGGGGGTGGAACGACCTCCCGTCGAGCGCGCGGGGGGTGCAACGAACTCTCGGCGAGAGCGCGGGGGGTGCAATGACCTCCTGGCGAGCACGCGGGGGGTGCAACAATCTCTCGGCGAGCACGCGAGGGGGTGCAACAAACTCCCGGCGAGCACGTGGGGGGTGCAACGACCTCCCGGCAAGCGCGCGGAGGGTGCAACGACCTCCCGGCGAGCGCGCGGGGGGTTCAACGTTCTCCTGGGGAGCGTGCGGGGGTTGCAACGACCTCCCGGCGAGGGCGCGGGGGTTGCAACGACCTCCCGGCGAGCGTGCGGGGGGTGCAACGAACTCCCGGCGAGCACGTGGGAGGTGCAACGACCTTCTGGTAAGCGCGCGGGGGGTGCAACCACCTTCGGGCGAGCGCGCGGGGGATGCAACGAACTCCCGGCGAGAGCGCGGGGGGTGCAACAACTTCCCGGCGAGCGCGGCGAGCAGGAGGGGTGTGTAACGTCCTCCCTGGGAGCGCGCGGGAGGTGCAACGACCTCCCGGCGAGCGCCGGGGGGTGCAACGACCTCCCGGCGAGCGCGCGGGGGGTGCAACGACCTCCCGGCGGGCGTGCGGGGGGTGCAACGACCTCCCGGCGAGCGCGTGGGGGTGCAAAGACCTTCCGTCGAGCGCGTGGGGGATGCAACGAGCTTCCGGCGAGCGCGCGGGGGGTGCAACGAGCTCCCGGCGAATGCGCGAGGGTTGCAACGAGCTCCTGGCGAGCGCGCGGGGGGTGCAACGAGCTCCCGGCGAGCGCGCGGGGAATGCAACGAGCTCCCGGCGAGTGCGCGGAGGTTGCAACGAGCTCCCAGCGAGCGCTCGGGGGGTGCGGCGACCTCCCAGCGAGTGCGGGGGGGGTGCAACGACCTCCTGTCGAGCGCGCGGGGGTTGCAACGACCTCCCGGCGAGCGCGCGGGGGGTGCAACGAGCTCCCGGCGAGCACGCGGTGGTTGCAACGACCTCCCGGGGAGAGCCCAGGGGGTGCAACGACCTTCCGGGGAGCGCGGGGGGTTGCAATGACCTCCCGGCAAGCGCGCGGGGGGTGCAACAAGCTCCCGGCGAGAGCGCGGGGGTTGAAACAAACTCCCGGCGAGCGCGCGGGGGGTGCAACAAACTCCCGGCGAGCGCGCGGGGGGTGCAACGACCTTTGGGCGAGCGCGCGGGGGGTGCAACGAACTCCCGGCGAGCGCGCGGGGGTGCAACGACCTCCCGGCGAGCGCGCGGGGGGTGCAACGACCTCCCGGCGAGCGCACGGGGGGTGCAACGAACTCCCGGCGAGCGCGTGGGGGGTGCAATGAGCTTCCGTCGAGTGCGCGGGGGGTGCAACGACCTCCCGTCGAGCGCGCTGAGGGTGCAACGAACTCTCGGCGAGAGCGCGGGGTGTGCAACGAGCTCCCGGCGAGCGCGTGGGGGGTGCAACGAGCTCCCAGCGAGCGCACGGGGGGTGCAACGACCTTATGGCGAGCGCGCGGGTGGTGCAACGAACTCCCGGCGAGCGCGGGGGGGTGCAACGACCTTCCGGCGAGCGCGCGGGGGGTGCAACGAACTCCCGGCGAGAGCGCGGGGGGTGCAACGTCCTCTCGGGGAGCGTGCGGGGGTTGCAACGACCTCCCGACGGGTGCGAAGGGGGTGCAATGACGTCCCGGCGAGCGCGCGGGGGGTGCAACGACCTCCCGTCAAGCGCGCGGGGGGTGCAACGAACTCCCGGCGATAGCGCATGGTGTGCCACGACCTCCCGGCGAGCGCGTGGGGGGTGCAACGACCTCCCGGCGAGCGTGCGGGGGGTTCAACGAACTCCCGGCGAGCGCGTGGGGGGTGCAACGACCTCCCGGCGAGCGCGCGGGGGGTTCAACGAACTCCTGGCGAGCGCGTGGGGGGTGCAACGACCTTCCGGCGAGTGCGAGGGGGGTGCAACGACATCCCGGCGAGCGCGCGGGGGTGCAATGACCTCCCGTCGAGTGCGCTGAGGGTGCAACGAACTCCCGGCGAGCGCGTGGGGGGTGCAACAACCTTCCGGCGAGTGCGAGGGGGGTGCAACGACATCCCGGCAAGCGCGCGGGGGTGCAACGACCTCCCGTCGAGCGCGCTGAGGGTGCATTGAACTCCCGGCAAGAGCGCGGGGTGTGCAACGAGCTCCCGGCGAGCGCTTGGGGGTTGCAACAAGCTCCCAGCGAGTGCGCGGGGGGTGCAACGACATTATGGCGAGCGCGCGGGTTGTGCAACGAACTCTCGGCGAGCGCGCGGGGGGTGCAACGAACTCCCGGCGAGGGTGTGGGGGTGCAACGACCTCCCGGCGAGCGCGCGGGGGGTGCAACGACCTCCTGGCGAGCGCGCGGGGGGTGCAACGTCGTCCCGGGGAGCGGGCGGGGGTTGCAACAAACTCCCAGCAATCTCGCGGGGGGTGCAACGACCTCCCGGCGAGCTCGAAGGGGATGCAACGACGTCTCGGCGAGCGCGCATGGGGTGCAACGACCTCCCGGCGAGCGCGCGGGGGGTGCAACGACCTCCCGGCGAGCGCGCGGGGGGTGCAACGAACTCCCGGCGAGCACGTGGGGGGTGCAACGACCTCCCGGCGAGCACGTGGGGGGTGCAACGACCTCCTGACGAGTGCGCGGGGGGTGCAACGACCCCCTGGCGATCGCGCGGAGGGTGCAACGACCTCCCGGCGAGCGCGCGGTGGGTGCAACGACCTCCCGGCGAGCGCGCGGGGGGTGCAACGACCTCCCGGCGAGCGCGGGGGGGTGCAACGAACTCCCGGCGAGCACGTGGGGGGTGCAACGACCTCCCGGCAAGCACGCTGGGGGTGCAACGTCCTCCCAGGGAGCGCGTGGGGGTTGCAACGAACTCCCGGCAAGCTCGCGTGGGGTGCAACGAACTCCTAACGATAGCGCATGGGGTGCAACAACCTCCCGGCGAGCGCGCGGGGGGTGCAACGACCTCCTGGCGAGCGCGCGGGGGGTGCAACGACCTCCCGTCGAGCGCGCGGGGGTTGCAACGACCTCCCGTCGAGCGCGCGGGGGATGCAACGACCTCCCATCGAGCGCGCGGGGGTTGCAACGACCTCCCGGCGAGCGCACGGGGGGTGCAACGACCTCCCGGCGAGCACGCGGGGGGTGCAACGACCTCCCGGCGAGCGCGCGGGAGGTGCAACGTCTTCCCGACGAGGTCGTTGCAACCCCCGTGCGCTCGACGGGAGGTCGTTGCAACCCCCGCGCGCTCGCCGGGAGCTCGTTGCACCCCACGCGCGCTCGCCGGGAGCTCGTTGCACCCCCCGCGCGCTTGCCGGTAGGTCATTGCACCCCCCGCGCGCTCGTCGAATGGTCGTTGCACCCCCCGCGCGCTCGCAGGGAGCTCGTTGCCCCCCCCGCGCCCTCGCCAGAAGGTCGTTGCAACCCCCGTGCGCTAGACGGGAGGTTGTTGCACCCCCCGAGCGCTCGCCGGGAGGTCGTTGCACCCCCTGCGCGCTCGACTGGAGGTCGTTGCACCCCCCGCGCGCTCGCCGGGAGGTCGTTGCACCCCCCGCGCTCGCCGGGAGGTCGTTGCACCCCCCGCGCGCTCGCTGGGAGGTCGTTGCATCCCCCGCGCGCTTGCTTGGAGTTCGTTGCAACCCTCGCGCACTCGACAGAAGGTCGTTGCACCCCCCGTGCGCTCGCCGAGAGGTCGTTGCACCCCCCGTGCATTCGACGAGAGGTCGTTGCACCCCCGCGCGCTCGCCGGGAGGTCGTTCCACCCCCCGCGCGCTCGCCGGGAGTTCGTTGCACCCCCTGCGCGCTCGCCAGAAGGTCGTTGCACCACCCGCGCGCTCACCGGGTGATGAGAGTACGGAGAGTAGGGAGAAGGTTGATGAGAGTTGGGAGAAGGGTGATGAGAGTAGGGAGAAGGGAGATGAGAGTAGGGAGAAGGGAGATGAGAGTAGGGAGAAGGAGATGAGAGTAGGGTGAAGGGTGATGAGAGTAGGGAGGAGGGTGATTAGAGTAGGGAGAAGGGTGATGAGAGTAGGGAGAAGGGTGATGAGAGAAGGAGCGGAGAAGGGTGATGAGAGTAGGGAGATGGGTGATGAGATTAGGGAGAAGGGATATGAGAGTAGGGAGAAGGGTGATGAGAGTAGGGAGAAGTGTTATGAGAGAAGGAAGTAGGAAGAAGGGTGATGAGAGTAGGAAGATGGGTGATGAGAGTAGGGAGAAGGGTGATGAGAGTAGGGAGAAGGGTGATGAGAGTAGGGAGAAGGGTGATGAGAGTAGGGAGAAGGGTGATGAGAGTAGGGAGAACGGTGATGAGAGTAGGGAGAAGGGTGATGAGAGTAGGGAGAAGGGTGATGCGAGTAAGGAGAAGGGCGATGAGAGTAGGGAGAAGGGTGATGAGAGTAGGGAGAAGGGTGATGAGAGTAGTGAGAAGGGTGATGCGAGTAAGGAGAAGGGTGATGAGAGTAGGGAGAAGGGTGATGAGAGTAGGGAGAAGGGTGATGAGAGTAGGGAGAAGGTGATGAGTGTAGGGAGAAGGGTGATGAGAGTAGGGAGAAGGGTTATGAGAGTAGGGAGAAGGGCGATGAGAGTAGAGTAAAGAGTGATGAGAGTAGGGAGTAGGGAGAAGGGTGATGAGAGTAGGGCGAAGGGTGATGAGAGTCGGGAGAAGGGTGATGAGAGTAGGAAGAAGGGAGAAGGGTGCCGAGCGTAGGGAGAAGGTGATGATGCGAGTAGGAAGAAGGGTGATGAGAGCAGGGAGAAGGGTGATGAGAGTAGGGAGAAGGGTGAGAGTAGGGAGAAGGGGATGAGAGTAGGGAGAAGGGTGATGAGAGTAGGGAGAAGGGTGATGAGAGTAGGGAGAAGGGTGATGCGAGTAGGGAGAAGGGAGAATGGAGATGAGAGTAGGGAGAAGGGAGAAGGGAGATGAGAGTAGGGAGAAGGGTGATGAGTTTGGGAAGAAGGGTGATGAGATTAGGGAGAAGGGTGACGAGAGTAGGGAGAAGGGTGATGAGAGTAGGGAGAAGGGTTATGAGAGGAGGGAGAAGGGTGATGAGAGTAGGGAGAAGGGTGATGAGAGTAAGGAGAAGGGTGCTTTTCCCTACGCCTATTGAGATTCCTGCGCTTCCTAGCATTTGTGGGCAGGCACGGCCGTCATCGCGGGCGCCGAACTTTTCTTTGCGTGCGAACCAATCTGAAGTTGCTCTTGTAGATGTATTTGAACATGGGCCACCCAAATATGCAACAACATTTGGGTCGTTCGATGCTTCTCCCTACGCCTACAGGGATGCATGCGCTTCCCTAGCACTTGTCGGCAGGCACGGCCGTCATCGCGGGCGCCGAACTTTTCTGTGTGCGCGAACCAAGCTGAAGTTGCTCTGGTAGGTGTATTTGAACATGGGCCACCCGAATATGCAACAACATTCAGGTCGTTGGATGCTTTTCTCTACGCTTATAGGGATCCATGCGCATCCTAAGCATTTGTCGGCCGGCACGACCGTCATCGCGGGCGCCGAACTTTTCTGTGCGTGCGAACCAATCTGAAGTAGCTCTGATAGTAGGTGTATTTGAATATGGGCCACCCGAATATGCAACAACATTCGGGTCGTTCGTTGCTTTTCTCTACGCCTATAGGGATCCATGTACTTCCTTAGCATTTGTGGGCAGGTACGACCCTCATCACGGGCGCCGAACTTTTGTGTGCGCGCTAACCAAGCTGAAGTTGCTCTGATAACTATGTGTATTTGAACATGGGCCACCCGAATATGCAACAACATTCGGGTCGTTGGATGCTTTTCCTACGCCTATTGGGGTCCATGCGCTTCCTTAGCATTTGTCGTCAGGCAAGGCCGTCATCGCGGGCGCCGAACTTTTCTGTGCGCGCGAACCAAGCTGAAGTTGCTCTTGAAGGTGTATTTGAACATGGGCCACCCAAATATGCAACAACATTCGGGTCGTTGGATGCTTTCCCCTATACCTATAGGGATCCATGCGCTTCCTTAGCATTTGTCGGCAGGCACGGCCATCTGTGCGCGCGAACCAAGCTAGAGTTGATCTGGTAGGTGTATTTGAACATGGGCCACCCAAATATGCAACAATATTCGGGTCGTTGGATGTTTTTCCCTATGCCTATAGGGATTCATATGCTTCCTTAGCATTTGGCGGCAGGCACGGCCGTCATCACGGGCGCTGAACTTTTCTGTGCGTGGGAACCAATCTGAAGTTACTCTCATAAATGTATTTGGCGGAGCATGGGCCACCCAAATATGCAACAACATTCAGGTCGTTCGATGCTTTTCCCTACGCCTATAGGGATCCATGTGCTTCCTTAGCATTTGTGGGAAGGCACGGCCGTCATCGTGGGCGCCGAACTTTTCTGTGCGCGCGAACCAAGCTGAAGTTGATCTGGTAGGTGTATTTGAACATGAGCCACCCGAATATGCAACCTTCATCGTTACATGAGGTGTTGGAGCAGTACAAAGATATCATGCCGGACGACCTACCTGCAAAGGTACCTTCAGCGCGAACCCACGAGCACGTGGAGGAACCAGATGCAAAACCCGTCTCCCGTGAACCATACCGCCTTAGTCCAACCGAACTAATAGACATGAAGAAACAGAGTGAGTACCTACTGGACAGGAAACTGATCTGCCTATCCATCTCTCTCTACGGTACTCCAGTTCTCTTCACTCCAAAGCCGGACGGTAGTTTACAGACGTGCATCGATATCAGGCACTGAACGAACAGAAAATATAAAATAAATACCCCATATTGCGCATAGACGATCTTCTAGACCAACTTCGTGGTGCAACGATGTTTTCGAAGCTGGACCTACGGTCGAGTTACTGGCAGAACACAACTGGATCCACAAGACGACATTCCGTACTGGATCCTATGAATACTTAGTGATGCCATTCGGACTCTGCAACGCACCAGCAACATTCCAGGCGGAGATAAACTACATCCTATGGCTCCTGCTGGATGAGTGCATAGAAGCGTACCGGGACGACATTCTCATCTACTCCAAAAACATGAAGGAGCATGTGGAGCATCTGCGGAAATTATTTGAGATTCTTTGGAAAAAAAAAAAACTTCTATATGAAACTGTCAAAGAGCGACTTCGCCGTGAAGAAGGGCACATGGTGAGTGCGGAGGTCGTAAACGTGGACCCGCATAAAATCAAAGTCGTCAAGACGTGGAAAGTTCCTAAAAACATGAAGGAGTTACAGCAGTTCCTAGGCTTCGCCAACTACTACAACAGGTTCGTGCCACAGTACGTAAGATAGCAGCTCCACTGATGAACTTATTGAAAAAGGATACACCCTATAAAAGGGATGCTCCTCAACAGCAAGCCATGGAGCAGCTAGATACAGCACTGACTACAGCGCCAGTACTCATCCTACCGGATCCAGATAGAGACTACGTGGTGGAAGCAGACGCTAGTGACCAGGCAGTCGGAGCAGTACTGATGCAAGATCACGGACGCGGTTTGTAGCTCATCGCTTACCTCAGTAAGAAGCTACATGGAGCAGAACTGAACTACCCAATCCATGACAAGGAAGCCTTAGCGATAGTTGTCAGAATGTTATTCTCTAGCCTGTAGTGGGGTGCTCTATAGCGAGTACAACCCATCTAGGGTTTGCTATATGTATCCTCATTGCTGCTAGTGAAACCCCTCTTTGCCTAAACTTTCTCTTGCCTAGCTAGGGTTCTCCTAGCTATGGCGCCTTATTCTATCGCCTATCTTCACAATAGTCACGGCCTTCAAGGCATAGAGGTATTACCTAGAGGGAGCCAAGACTACAGTCTACACTGACCAGTACAAACTGTTGGTGTAAGGGCCTAATAAACTCAAGCTATTAGGACTTAATCAAACTTAAAACCTCTCCTCGGGGTCACCTCCAAGGGTCCCTGGGTGCCTGGTACAAGACCAGCCCCTATCCTCGGGTCCGAGTTTGTAGAGAGAGGGATCAAGAAGGACTTAGTCAAAACAGCAAGAGTACCTTGAATGTCGCGCAGCGTGCCGTGCAGACCGTCGGTCGGATTAAGCTGAGAATTCGCTATATCGAAGCTTGCTCCAAGAGCTTTAAAATGAGCCAAGTTGCCTCGCGAAAAGTTCTGCCATTACGAAGTTATGGCTCAGACGGTGTTTGCCTAGCATTAGAGTACTAGCGTACTAGCGTTGACTCGGGTAGCATTCCGCCAACGAACCGCGTAGAAACGAAATTCCAGCGAGGAAGGAATTCGCATGAATCAATTTGACTATATTCAGGTACAAACAGAGAAGGATTAAATAGTTCTAGCTAGCAAGGACCTTGGGAATCAACCTGGGAACAACCAGGGATGATCCCAAATAATTCCAAGCAACAGAACCAACCTGGCTGGACAAAATAGCAGGTGGTAGGTTGGTAAACAACCTCTGGTTCTGTTTTTCCAACCTGGGAAAGCAACAACCAGGTTCAGGTTCTAAAAACAGAACCTGTTTTGTCTTTGCCCAACCAGCCAAATGCTGGTTCCGCTGGTTTCCCCTGGCCTTGTAGCATGCAGATACAGACAAACAACATCCAACCTTCACCTAAATTGTACCCCTATAGTGCCTTCCCTGCTACACTATAGTTAACCAAACAAAACAGTACGATTTCGAGTTGGATAGAACTGAATCTGCGCAATCAACTCAACCGAACTGCAAAGCTTCCATCTTGGGTTCCTTTGCGAGCTCGTCCTTTCTGCTTGCACTGTTCATAGCGCATACAATGTTGTGCCGAAACGCACATTGCGCGAGTACCTGCAAATGCATCAAGCGAAAAATGCGAAAGCAAACAAACACACGAACACACCATTCACACACAAATGCATTCGCACACGCATACTCGTACAAAACAGACGGCAGGATGTCGTGCAATGTGCATTTGCACCCAACACACTCCCCCTCAGCCTGCCGGCTGCATCCCCGTCATTCCATGCTAGTTCATGCTCATTCCACTCATGCGCACACAACGCCAATGAGGCTCATCCGCAAGCCTCTTGGTGAGAAAGTCTGCTGGCTGCTGGTGAGTCTTGATGTAGATCGGATGCACCGTCCCCCTCTTCACCTCCTTACGTAGCCAGTGCCACTTGATACGCATGTGCTTGTTCAGCCCATGAAGCACAGCGTTTCTGGCCATCCCAAGAGCCCCCTTGCTATCACAAAACAGCGGCGTAGCAACTTTCTGCTCCTGGCCAATCTCCTCTAACAGCCTCCTCAGCCAAATCACCTCCTTCACCCCATGGAACATCGCCATGTACTCTGATTCTACGGAAGAGAGTGCCGTCTCCGTCTGCTTCTTGGACCTCCAACTAACAGGTCCTCCCCCAACTACGCAGATGTATCCTCCCACAGATGAGGAATCCTCCTTCTCAGAAGCCCACGTAGCATCGGTAAAGCAAGTGAGAAATAGCTTGCCTTCTCCAAGCCTCTCCCCCTTCTCTTTCAGCACCTCCACCCCTTTCTGCTTCACCTGTGCAGATGCGGAGTATTGAACTCCAATGCTTGGGTGAGAGTTCAGGTACTTCACCACACGCTCAGCTGCATCCACCTGCTCCTCTGATGGATTCTGCACCACCCTAGCCAGCTGCCCAACCGAGAAAGAGATGTCGGGCCTCGTGTGAACTGCTGCGTACAAGAGGCTGCCCACCAAGGACTGAAATTGCTGCTGCTCTTCAGCTTCAACCCCTTCATCCTCTGCAGCCTTCACAAGCTTGAATTCTGCTGGCAGGGGAGTTGCAACCTTGCGCTCATTCTCAATCCCATACTTCTCCCCCAGCTCCTTGATGAACTTCTCCTGGTGCAGCTTCAACCACCTGTGATCTGGATCCCTCTCCACGTGCATCCCGAGGTAGTACTTTACCTCCCCAAGGTTCTTGCACTTGAAGTTTTCCATCAGTTGCTGCTGCACTTTCTGGATCTCCTTCATGCTGCTGCTGAAGAGAAGAATGTCGTCCACATAGACCAGAAACAGCACCAGCTTCTCCCCCTCGCCCTTGAGAAAGAGGCTCTCATCACAGCTGCTGGTCCTGAATCCCATCTCCTCTAAAACAGCTGCCAACTTCTGGTACCAGCAGCGTGGCGCCTGCT